TTGTGTTGTTTCATTTCAATAATTTTTTTATTTTTGTTTCACTTATATGTGTTGTGAATAGAAGTTGCGTTTTCATTCTCGGACATTCAATTATGAGTGTTTTTTTTAAGTGAATCAGATGTGATTTAAATTGTTATAACAGATTCTTATTCTACATGACATTGCATAATAAATCAGAGCTAAGAGAAGACAATCACTTTGGGAAAAATTATCCAACGATTTATTCATTTTGCGCAAATTGGCAATTCAAGAAGAATTTTCGATCTGACAACAGCATCCATACATTGTTCACAAATATTATTTATAATTATGATAATAATTTCATTGGTCTCAAAACCGAAAATATAAATCACATTAAATTGGGATAATTGTACACACGCGTTTCTACGAACTTTTTTATGTACACTGCATATATAATAAAAAAAATAAAATGATTCATATTCGGTCTCGGACAGTATGGAAAAACATCTCCTATTTGCTAGCGAAATTATCATTTGGATTTGTTTGGAATACTAAAGACATAAACGATATGCACAAGGTGAAATGCTGAATTTGTTTTTTTTTATATATTGAGTGAAACTGGAAAAGAAATTATTCGGCAAATATTTCAGCATAATTACGTTGCATGCAATGGGTCTTGTACGGTGGAAAAAAAAGCGAAGGAAATGTTCATTTTACATTGGCCACATCATGATGGCACATGGCTCATATCCGACATCAAATCCACATTTTAAAACTGACGAAGTTTGTAATTACTACGAAATTTATCATTGCGCTCATAATATTCGTATATCGGAACAGCCAATGAAATGAGCTTAAATGCTACCCCGTTGGTCCATTCATCTTAACAGTCGAAATAAATTGCATGCTCGATTGCAAGAAATGATTACTGCCTCATTTTATTGAGTAGTTAAGAATAAAAGCCCATTTTCTATTGTGCATTGGTTGCCCCGATCCGAGAATGGGATCGCGCGTATGTAAGTGTGTTTGTGTGTCTTTCTGTTGGTTGACTCTCTAGCATTACTATAAAATCAAATGGAAACGTCTATTTTCGCTTAGTCGCAAAAAAGGAGCGAAAATAATTGTCCATATTGAGTGGAATTGCTTAAAACTTGAGCGAAGTGAATGTCTTTGTCGAAAAACGACAACAGCATTTGAGTCGTTACCGAACAGCAACAACAACAACAACAACGAAAACTGGCCAAAGAAGATATGGAAAATCGTTGGAATTATATATCAGCGGGGCATTAAAGAAAGGCACGGACAAAAATCACAATGATTTTAAACGGTAAAGGAGGTGAAAAGAAGCGAAAGGACTCGAGAGACAGAAAAGGAAAGAGAAAGATCAAGTTAAGGCCAGCAAAAGTCGTATCGAACATCATAAAATCTCAAGTACTGCAAATGCATAAAAACACATGCACTCCGCCATAACACTCGACAAACGTAACTTTCCTCCAATCCGGTGACTATAGTCAGCTCCCTTTCTCTCTTTCTGTCTCTCTTTTTTCACCCCTCAATTTTTCACTCACTGCACAAAGGAATATTTGGAATGTTGCATTCAAAGCAAAATTTATTCGGTTCATTCAAGTGGAAAAAATCTAATAATGGTATTTCGATAGAGAATACATACACACACACATTGGAAGAGAGAGAGAGATAGAAAACAACGAGTGCATAATAAACCACATAAGCCCAAGTCGACGATGAAAATAAAAACAAATCGAGCAAAATGAAAACGAAAACAAAACGGGACAAAACAAACAGCACAGAGGAAAAAAAGCAGCGACAGAGAGAACAAAGTGGCGAGTGCACCAAAAATCGCACGCAAAAACATTTACGCGCACATTCTCCTACACATACATTACGTAGCAGTGGAACATGAAGCCAACCAACATTAAAAACATTTCGACCAGACTCGATGCTGCTCGAAACAATTCGGAGCTTTTACACATTTTGTTCCTCGTTGTGTTTTTTTGTTGTTTTTGTCTCATTCGGGGCGCCCCCTTCACTCATTCTGTTGTATGTGTATGTGTATGTTACATACAACATAGCCAGCTGTACACATTTGCTTTTGTGCCAAGATACATATTTTGTGTGATGCGTTAGTTTCGCCAACGTTTTATCGTATGCTACAGATTAGTCTGGATGCACTGCTCATGCATTTGTATGAATTGTTCATGTTGTAGTCGTGTGTTTATTTTTGAAAATTGTTTAAAAACGCGATTCGGGTTTTTTTGTCTCTCTCTCTCTCTCTCTCTCCCTCTTCTTCTATTTTCTCTTTTTTTTTGCTCGTTTGTCGTTTCGCAAATTGAACAAAATGTGCATGGAATTTGTTTTTGTATTTTGTCATGCACAAACGAAAATAAATGTTGATATTTCAATTATGGCATTCAAATTGGCATGGTACTTATCAATTAATTACCCATTGACATACACTCGAAATAACCCGTATCGCATTTCTTCTATGCCCCCAAAGTAATGCACGAAGTATTATGAAGTTAAATGGCAAACATTTCTACAATTTATTGTCATTACCCGCCAATTTTTAATCGATTCATAAACAATTTAGTGAAGAAAACACAAATGAAAGTGAACCAGAGAACTGTGCGAAACACCTTTCGAAACCATTATTCCAATGAAACCCTTCAGACCGTGCGGGATTGGGCAAACGGATGGGTAAAAATGAGTTGGGCATTTTATTCTGCATTTTTATAGGTAGAAAAAGCTTTTAAACAAATGCGCCACTCCGAGCTATCTGCTTGCTACACAACATGCAGTTTTCCCCAAAATAATTGGTTGGCAGATGCATTTTTTTCTGCTTCATTCTGTTTCATTGCTGATAAAAATGTAACCGTAAATATTTGCTCATTGCACAAATTGTAGCCACACGGTGTTTTACCGCAAAAATTATCTCCTCTCATGACAGCAAATATGAGTTTTGTTTGGCGCGATAAAGAACAAAGAGATGAAACAAAAGCTGAATAGATTTCCATAAAAAATTTAAACTAAAAAAAAAGCTGCGGAAAATAGCCAAAGCCAAAGCCGGAGCAAATACATTTATAAACAAGCGCTTATTTAGCGCAGATAAAAATATGGGCAGTGAATGTCAGTGGTGATGATGATGATGTTGTTGGAAACAACAGAGAAAAAAACACGAAAGTTTTTTATAGTATTTTTTGTTCCATGTATGAGTGGCGCTTTGACAATGCATCACAGAGACTGTATCCAGCACATAAACATATTGTGTGTGCAAATATACACAATGTTATAATCGAATAAAAAATGACTTCCATGCCGTCGAGAAATTGGATTTGTTTGCTCGATCGGAGTAGAAAACTGAACAAACACTCTTTCTCCTTTCCACACTCTCTCTCTCTCTCTCTCTCTCTCTCTCTCTCTCTCTCTCTCGCTCTCTATCTCACTCGGCTTATCGTTTCTGAGAAATAACACAATAAAATTCATTTGCAAAATAAATGAATAAACACGTTTTGGTTGCAATTGATTTTGTTTGGCCTCGCATGGATTCTTTATTACATTTTTATCCGTTGCGAATACACAATCGCAACTTGATTTGTTCATCAGAATGCTCCATTCAGTCATTGTTTGTTAAGGATATTGAAACACCAGAGCTATTTTGCATACGGTCCAATCAATTTGGAACAATGGTTTCGGCTCACATTGTGTGAGCATGTGTGTGTGTGTGTGTGCACAAGTCGCATTTGTATGTGCAAGTTGTCGAGTGAGTATAATAATCGAAGTGGATGGAGAGCGACTCGAGAAAGGGTTTTTACATAGCCCACAAATTGCATCGTGGGTTATCCATACTAATGTTGGAGTGCTATAAAAACTTAATGCACTTGATTCCAGGCCTCCAAGAGTTTAAAACTCTTTTGAGCTTTTGATGGTATAACCTTTAAGTGGAGCAAATAAAATCGAACGGCATTTTTGGTTCATATGAATATTTCAGGGGAAATTGTGACCGACAATTTGAACTTTCTCTCCATGGCTTTTCTCTTCTTCCTTGACTTTTTCCATCGACAACAACGTCATCATCGTTGCCGTCGTTGTCGTCGTCATCACCATCATCGCTCGATGTGACCATTAAAAATGGCATGTATGATATGTATCCGTTTTCTAAATTCTAGATGCTATTTTAATAACTTTGCCACGGCCATTGATCGAAATGTTTGTACAATCCTGCAGAGTGACTTATTCACACACAAACAAAATATTTCTCGTCCATACACACTTCGAAACTGATTAATTTCAAATTGAATT